AGTAATATTAAAACAAGATGAAGTAGCTAATACAGAATAAGAAATAAGAACATCTAGAATTTTTGAGTTCATTGGAGAAATTAGAAATATAGTAATAAAGAAAAGAGCTGCAAATATTATAAACAATTTACACCATAAGAAAAAAAAGAGCAAGATCTAGAGATAATATCAACAACACAATTTGTTTCACCAATGGTTAATTAATTTAAAGCCAACAAAAGACTTATGAAAGTGATGATGAAACAAAAGAGGAGAGTGATTTAGATAAAATAGTTATGCATAAATTAAAAGAGAAGATCAAAAACAGAAAGAAATGTAATTATAATCTTAAAAATAAAAGAGAATTTCAGATGTACTTATTAGTTTATGAGTCAAATGAAATAAGTAAGTATTGATATCAAGTATTATGATTTCTTAAAATTGAATCCTTACAATAATGTTAATGATACCATACTAAAGTTATTCAAAAATATATCATTTCATGGAGAATAAAAATAGATTAACACATAGTATATAAAGAACAATTAAATGTTATAAAGATAACATATTTAACTATTTCCTTTGCATTAACTTGAACATTAGACAGTAAGGTTTGTAGTTAATCCATTACAAGTTTGCGAATAATTGTACAATAATAACTTTTAATTGAGTAATGATGTTAGTTAGAATGGGTATTTGATCTATTTTGATTTACATCTTATATATTAAATTCTATTGGATGCATGTATATAATCTTAAACAAAAAAGATATAGTTATGATTAGATCTATGAGATAGTAATGAGATCAAATATGTAACTGTTCATTAGCCTATTGTACTAAGATAGATAGACTGTTGATTTTATATGTTAGAATATATGGAGAGATTCATTAATAATAATGAATCCTAATTATTAAATACTTTAATAGTTTGGAATACGATCACTTGAAATGGTTCACAAAAGTGATGATTTTTATTAAACCAATACTAATTAAAAAAAATATAAAATGCCTTAAGTTCGGGATAAAAAGATTATGCACTTAGATTTTCAAGAAAATTGTTGAATGATTGATCAATATTTCAGTATTTATTTTTTAATTATTGGAGTTGATCATTCATCTTAAATTACAATTTCATACCCGAGTAAGCTTAACAAATTAATAATATATTTCTTCTTATGATGATTATTCTCCCAGTTAATATAAACGAATGATAAGGTTACTCATTATGTCTGAATTCTTTTACAATTTAGACATCTTTTTCTGATTAATTTTATACTTTTATCTAAAATTAGTATAAATCCAGTTTCTCTGATTGTCATAGTTACATAAAATTAAGTGTGTTTTAACTGATCCCTTCTTAATACTATTATATAATCATAACTACCTTTAAATTTGGCATATACTTATCTTAAAATATTATGAGTATTAACTGTAAATATTCATTCTAAATCTTCAACTTATGTTAATGTTTAGTAAATAAACTTTCTTATAATTGAGTTAATTTATTTCATTTATTGTAGTTAAAATATATGTGTTTTTCATTTCGCTGGTAATTTGTATTGATTTACTCTCCTTTAAATCAATAATAAATCCTTCTACTCTTTAAGCATCACTTAGATGAGCATTAAAATATTGTTGTAAAGAGAGTAATGATTAATTAAAATAAATGCAAGAATTAAAGTAGAGAGATGTAATAGTAAAATAAATCAAATTACTCATTTAACAACTACAATAACATCATTTAATTTAAAATCTTGTTCCAAATAGTCATTAAGATAATATAGCTGAATTTATGATACTGAATAGACTTAAATATATTGATACTTATATTTAACTATGTGAATTGACAGAAAAATGTTTAGGATAAGCAAAATCAGATAATAAAGTAAATGACAGAATATTAAATGATCAATTTCACATATAATTAATATAATTTGGAATGATAGAAAACCAAAAATAAAAAGAAAACATTTCGTAAAAATGAAAAATGCCTATTATTCATTTCAATACTCACAGTACTGAATAAGATTCTTATAGTCTATACAATAAAAGATTAAGAAAAATTAAAAATATTATAAGTTATAGAAGACGCATAGTTACAAGAAATACTATCAAACTTTACAATCAAAATAATCATTAAAAGATAGGATCAAAATGTTAAGCACCATAGTTTAAATCAGGTTTAAGATATCAACCATCTCCAATATTTTTGCATTTCAATAATTATAAAGTTTTCTCATAAAAACCTGATATATAAAATAACCATAGATCTAACCAAGTAGCATTAAAATAAATTCCTTTCTATATAAACATACAAAAAAACATTGAGGATATCGGTTTCAATACTTCAATTCACATAAACCATAAAAATTTAATTATTAAGATTAATCTATGGAAATTCTAAGGAGAAATCAAAAATTTAAAGAAAATTAAGAAAATTACGATGTTATATTAATAACAATTTTAGTTACCATGGGGATCTATTGATAATATGCTAAGAATATTTTTCAATAATGAATTTAAATCTTTAACCTATCCCATATTATATCCTATTCTTTTAAAAGGAGGCAATAATCATGGTAAAAAACACAAAATAACATTATCTTTAGCTAAAAAAGAATATAGACATAGTAAAATAAATAAATACTCTAATACTAATCAGTAATATGATAAATAATGGCCATTTTAACACATTGTTCCCATGTATCCTAAATCACATTAAGATTAGGATGCTTCTTATAAACAACTACTAAATTGTTTAGATATCCAAATTTTATCTTATTTCTCCATATAAAAATTTACGAAATATTACTTTTAAAGTATAAATATAACTAGTTGTATAATAATACTTTACTGCTTTTACTTTATTTCATTTGATGTTAAAAATAAGTGAATTCAGTACTAAAAATTCGAATCAAATTCAGTCAATTGAAAAAGAATCCTTTTGTATCAAATTTCATGTAATTATTAGAATTTTAAATAGATAATGAATAATTTTAATTATTAGTCTAAAAAATCTTAAAATAAGATTCTTCTTTGTACTTTGTTTAATTGTTAGCTGATTTAAATTATAAAGGTGTATTTATTACGTTTCCACTTTTTAAATTACTAATAATATATTTACCATCATTTGAATCTTGTATAAAGATATATCCATTTTGGGTGATAAATTTTCATCATACACCTATTAAATTATTCCTTGATCAATTAAGTGACAGCTCAAGAATAAAAAAGATGGATAGGAACTAATAAAGCAGATCTATACCTTGTAATTATGTTAATTTATATTATATTCATAATCATATAAGGTGCTGATCTTCTGCTGTATCACTACCTTCTACTAATGCACTATTATTATTATAATAAACATCAGTTATAAGTTGTGAAAATACTTAAGTTTTTATT